TTTTGGAAGGATTTCATATCTTTAAATGTTAAGATATTTAATGAGAACATAGAGCAAATGCAGCCTGTTTTCCATGTGTTTGTTTGTTTCTTTTCTCTGTGTAGCCCTGGCTGTCCTGGAACTCGCTCTGTAGACCAGGTTGGCCTCAAACTCAGAGTTATCCCTGCCTCTGCCTCCTGAGTGCTGGGATCAAAAGCATGTGCCACCACTGCCACCACCGCTCAGCTTGTAAGAAACTTAAAAGGTTTGCTAGGAAGCACTCAGGCAGCACAAATCGACACATAAGAAGTGGTGGAAGGGACTCTCCCTTCAGCTCACCATTACCACCAACAGGGCAGGGCAGGGCAGGCCAAGCTTAGTGGCTTTTATTCATGGCAGGGGTCAGGCACCGGATAGTGCTGAAGCCAACATCTTGGGTAGCACTCTGCAAGTCCTGGGGCAGCAATCGAAATCCATCTCTCAGGTCAGCAGGTGGAATTTTCCCCAGGAGCAGGAGAGGCAGAGGCAGCCTACCACAGCCCACCTCGGGACTCTGGTCCTTCTACATGGATGTCTCCTTCTCAGCAGTTACTGTTGCCTGGCAATGAGGAGAATCCTGCTTTTCAGTTCCTGCTGTGGGTTCATTTAGGATGCTCTTGGGTTCAGCCTAGGAGCGCTGCTGGACACTGGGAGCTGCTTTTGTGGGGACTCTAGAAAAGAACAGGTCCCAGCCCCACAGTCCTTTCTATCCTCCCCTTCTACATCAGAAAGCCAGTCAATGGGGCTGTGGACTGGTTAGCCTATATCCCGTTAAGCCTGCCCAGAGAAGCCACCACCTGAGTGCCCTTGAGTTCCAGGGTGGGAACAAGGAGAGAGAGTTCTGAGACAGGGTCTGGCTGTGTAGCTGTCTTCTATTGCTGTGAAGAGACACCACAACCAAGGAAACTCTTCTAAAAGAAAGCCTTTAACTGGGTGGCTTGCTTACAGTTTCAGAGGGTTAGTTTGTTATCATCATGGAGGGAAGCAGACAAGCATGGTGCTGGAGCAGCAGCTGAGAGCTTTATATCCCGATTCACAGGCAGCAGGCACAGAGAGAATGAAAGCAAGAGAGACTGAGACGCTGAGCCTGGCGTGGGCCTTTGAGACCTCAAAGCTCACTCCCAGTAGTACGCCTCTCCAACAAGCCCATGCCTCCTAACCCTTCCAACAGTTTATCAACTAGGGACTCAACATTTAAATATATGAGCCTGTGGGGATCCTTCTCATTAAGTTACCACAGTAGCCCAGGATGAACTGGGAATTGCCATCCTCCTGCCTCCACAGTTTCCTTCAGCATTGCTCACTGCCTTCTTATTGGTTCTGCATGATCTTGAGTGTTGAATTATAGGCACAAGCTTTCCTGAATCCAGAATCTTGAATTCCTGGTCCTGGGAGAAGCTGGCACCCCAGAACTTGCCACTCTGGCTCCACCCCAGCTGTGGGCAGGTTGCTGTCCCTTTCTGACCTTATTTCCACATCCCAGCACCCTTGGCCAGTTATACATTAAGTGGCTGTGGGGGAAGAAAAGGGAATCGACTAGGGCTGGAAATTTATTTTGCCACATCCCTTAATAATCTCAGGACAAGCCAGGGACTCTATAATACCTATTTTATGTTCCGTTGGGTAAGACTTAGGCTCTGAGAATCGAGAGACCACATGCCCAGTATCACACAGCTCCTGACTAGCAAAGCCATGATTTTCAAATTCAGGCCTGTCGGTCTGGAGCAGTTGTTTCTCAGACGACTCCATCATCAACTGTGAGGTGTGAGAAACATCTGTGGCGATAAGGCCCAAAGACCCTAAGCCTGTCCACTGAAACAGACTGTGGCTCAACAGACACCATGTTCAAACCACAGGATCCTTTTCCAGAACACAATGGCAGCCTTCTTGCCTTTCTTCCCATTAATAGCCAGAAGCCAGGAGATAAGAGGTGTACCTGGGGCTACCAGCACACCCAGTTGGGCAAGGAAGGGGCTGGCAGCCCACAGCCACATCTGCTGGCCACCTAGGAACGGTGGCAGTGGGACAGGAAGCTAAGCAGAGAGAAAGGCCTGGGGAGGTGAGGGGTGCCCTGCAGGCTGAGTCAGGGCAGGGTGGGTCTATTGAGCACTGCTCCTTTTCCAATTGTATTAGTCAGGGTCTTTTAAAGGACTAGAATGGATAAATGAATATGTATGGGATTTTGATTGGCTTACAGGAAGGATTTGGTCCAGGTGGTCCAAAAAAAAAAAAAAAAAAAAAAATGGCTGTCTTACACTAGAAAGCACAAGAATCTGGAAATTCCTGGATGTTTTAGCAGTCCCAATCTGAGGATGAAGGCCTGGAGAGCTACTGGTCTTTAGTCTACATTGGATTCCCAAAGAAGCTGGTTCTAGTATCAGCCAAGGAATGCAGCAGCAGCAGCAGCAGCAGCAGCAGCATAGATGGGCTTGTCAGTGGGAGTAAGGACAAGAAGGCAAAAAGCAAAGTTTCTTTCTTTCTTGTCCTTTTATCTGGGATGCTTCCGGAAGGTGTGGCTCACTTAAGGGTGGATCTTCCTGCTTTAAAAAAATCTGACCTAGAAAATCCCTTACAGGTTGATTCTAATTGATTGTAGATATAATCAAGTTGACAATAAAGATTAGCCTCACACCTCTATTATAATTATTCTTATTTTTTGAAGCAAAGTCTCACTATCTGTCCGAAACTAGCCTTGAACTTGTGCCTCCTGAGTTCTGGGATTACAGGTGTAACCCACCACATCTGGCTCTCGCTACTAATTTTTCTTCTTTTTGCTTCTCATTGAGGCTGGAGAAAGAGGGGAATTAAGGGAACATGGGAGGGAAAGGAGCCCTCACCCTCGAGTCTGATTGAAGACTCTTGACAGCTGAGAGCCTAGCATTCCAGCTCAACGAGCATTTGTTGTGAGGGCTGCCCTCCCCACAGTTATTTTTTTTACAGAGACATTTCAAATAAGAACACTAACACAACAACGAACTGCACTCCAGGCCCAAGCATAGATGATGGTTTTCCTTCCCCAGATGGAAATCTATAGCTTTCTAGGAACCCCATTTACAGTAACAGATGCATTTTAACCCCCTTGTGCAGCCCCGAGGCCCATGGTTTTATCTGACCAGATAATAGTCCTACATGGAATCCCTGAAGAAACTATATAATCTCATTTGTCCAAAAGGAAGAAGAAAAGAAAAGAACGTTACTTACCAACTGCCTAAGTTGTAACTCTGAGCCACCCAAATCACACAAATATTGATAGCAGCTGCTAGGTCCCTGGAGCGGGAGCCTCACTTAAGGAGACACACTCCTGTGCTCAGGTGTGTCCTGTCCCTTCCCTTCTTTCTCTCTCTCTTTCTCTCTCCCTCTCTCTCCCCTCCGCCCCTTCCCCTCTTTTTTCCTTTCCCTCCCCCTCTCCCTTTTCTTCCCTCCCACTTTCCCTTTCCCTCCATCTCCCATCCCCTCTCCATTCCTCCTTCCCTTCTTTCCTCCCTCCCTCCATGCCTCCTTTCTCCCCTCACTCCCTTCCTCCATTCCCCTCTTTCTCCTTCTCTCCCTCCATCCCTCTCCCTCCCTCCTTCCTTTGTCCCTCCCTCCCTCCCTCTCCATTCTCCCCAACTCCTACAAAATGCTTCACACTGACTACTGAAATGCCTTTTTCCCCCACAAAGTAAGGGTAAGACAACTCCTCAGGCTGTAGGTGGCAGTGTTGGCCCACGTCTGCAGCAAGCTGAAACTACAGAAGAGAGCGGTCTGCCTGTGGTTGAGGAATGAAAGCTGAGCCACCTGGAAAAACAAGCTTATCCTCAGTCCTGCCTGAGGCATCTCCTTCTTTGGGGGCCCTATAATGTTAATGCAAACAAGTACATCCATTTCGCTCAGCCAACAATTATTTGTTTATTGAAATCCATGTGACAGTTACTAAGCCAATAACCAGGCCCAATGCTCAGGTTGTGTTGAAATGGTTGGTTAGGCTGTCCAGGTCCCTGCTCATGACAGTACAGACACTGGCCACATACACTAATGTAGATGGAGCAGCTCTGGGCCTCTACTTCTGTCCCCACAATGACAGCAGTCAGACCAAACACCTGGCAGTCAAGTGGGGCAGGAGGTGGGGAGGGAGGGAGTCCTGGAAACTCACCCTCTGAGTGGCATGGTCTGAAAGTGTCCTGGGCGCCTAGAAGGACCTCAACAGGTCGATGGTGCAGTAATTGCAATAAGGATGAGCCCCGACTGGACGGCAAAGATGGCGGTAGAGTAGAGACGAGATTATCATAGCCTTGAACAAACCTCCTGTCCTCGCCTCCCCTAGCACACATGGAACAATGGCTTCCTGAGTGTCCCTCAGGGGGACAGGCAACCTCTGAGTGCTCCTCAGGAGAGTGACAGGGGAAGAGGGGGAAAGATGAGTTTCTTTAAGGGGCTTCACCAAGTCTGCCCTCTTTGACTCAGGTTCCTGGTGAAATGAGAGGTGGTCAAGGCTGAAAATAGCTGCTTAGCTATACAGATCCCTCTCCATAGCAGCAGGGGTAAAGATGATACTGTGCTGGCCGGACTCTAAGGCTTACAGGGTCTTCAGATTCCTGCAAATCTGTATTTGTGGCTTTTTGGCCCCATGAACACATCTGAATGGAAGCTTTTAAAATATATTTTTTTAAATTTCAACTTTATGTGTATGAGTGTTCTGCCTGCACATGTGTATATGCAGCACCTTCAGGCCTGGTGCCCTTGCAGGCCAGGAGAGTGTCAGATCCCTTGGAACTAGAGTTCTGGACAGTTATCAGATGCCAAGTGGGTGCTGGGAACTGAACCAGTGTCGTCTTCAAGCCTCCTGAATGGGAACATTGAAAGCCATATGGCCCCAGCCTGTTCCCCATCCTCTCCTTCCTTAGACACTCTGCACAGAGAAGGCAATGGAGCCCAGAAGGAAGTAGGTAGCTGTTCAAGGTCACACAAACCAGCCAGAAGTGAGAGCAAACTTCGGCCACCTACACAACTACTCCTGCGACACCGAGTGGGCCTGGTCCAGGCGGGCAGTGCCAGAGGAGGAGGCTGTGGTGCTCTGAGTCGGAAAGTAGAGGATGATGAACCAGGAGAAGATGAAGAGTCCTGTGTTGAAGAGAGGGTTTCCATGAGCCTGGAACAGGCTGGGACACAGAAGGGGCTCCACTGTAAATGTTCAAGCACTTAGTGAAAACGTTATGCAAAAACAAAACCTAGTCCTGAAAGAGAGCCAAATAAAAAACCTTAGCCATCACAAACAACGGCCTTGAAGTAAATTGCACAAAAATCTGTCTTACAAGAAAGAGCAAAAACAAAAGTATTTTCAGATATATAAAACCAACGCTACTACTGCATCAGGCTCCCTTTACCATCCTTCTGTAAAGAATTACTAGAACATCCTTGTCCACCGGATGAGAAGGGAAGGGGCAGAGGAGTTTAGAAAAGTAGAGTAAGTACAGAATTGACTTTGTGTGTTTAAAGGGAATTTATAATGAAAACACTATACAACAATAACACTATCGGGAAGTTAAAAGGTACCCAGGGCGCCGTTGTGCATGGGAGAAAGAGAAATACTGAATAACTTTGACTCATCAGAGGGAGACATGCAGGCTTTAATATTAATGTAGCCCAGGCAAGGATAATGATGTCACTTCTGAGTTCAAGATGCCTCTCTCCCCAATTCTAAACCTCTGGGAATTTTCAAATGTGTACTCATGATTATTTTTCCTGGAGTTCATCTTAGATGGCCCTAAAGAAATTCTGTGTGCGTGTGTGTGTGTGTGTGTGTGTGTGTGTGTGTGTGTATTGTTTTTAAAGATTTGTTTCTTTTGTATGTGTGAGTATATATGTTAGAAAAAAAGATTTGTTTTAATTTTGTCTGTATGAGTTTTAACCTGCACGTAAGTACACTACATGTGTGCCTACGTGTGTGCTACAGGGAACCAGAAGAGGGCATTGGATCACCTGGAACTGGAGTTACAGATGGTTGTGAGCCGCCATGTGGCTGCTGTGAACCAAATCTGGGTCCCCTGCAAGAGAAGCCTGTGCTCTCCGCCACCTCTCCAGGTACGCGCTGCGGCATTTTCTTACCTAGTTTGTTCTGGTTGATCTCCTTCTCCACCCCTCTGTCTCCACCCCTCTGCCATCTCGTACCCTTCCACTCCTCGGAGTCCCTTAACCATTTTCATGTCCTACGTATCCATTCCTTTCTTTCTACCTTCTCCCTTTAAACCTCCTTTTCCTTTCTATGGTCCCTTTCTAGTTTAATGATCTTTGCACACACCCCAAATACATACTTACATAAAACCTAGAGCTAGGACCTTCATGTGAGATTATCTATGCTGTTTGATTTCTACTGTACTGCAATCAGTACAGTGTCTGTAACAGACTAGAGGCCACTTTGCCAAAAGCATAGGGGGCCAGCAGATGGCAATGTATAACTAAAAGCAGGGTGAAAGTTTGGCATGTCTGCCCTTTGCTACCTTAAACTAGTTCAGATTGGCTTCAACTCTGCACACAGACATGCTAAATAAACATTTAAGGAGTATTTGATTAAAATGGTGATCCCCCCCCCCCCGCAAGGCTGATATAATCAGTAGATTATTAACCAGCAGCTTTTGAAGGGTCCTGCATCCTAGCACGGGAGTGGTGCTGGTGGTCTCCGGTCACTGACCTACGTGTGAAGATCTAACACAGCCCATTTTGTCTTTCTGACCTGTTCTTTTCTCTGCGTCTTCCTCTCCTGTGGTCACCCTAGATTTCAGGAACAGTAGGTCTAAGAAATGAACATGTTTTGACCAAGGTGGGAGCCACTTTCTTATTGCGGACAGATCCCTATGCAATCGTCCTAAGATAGTGGTTAACAAGGTCCTGCCTGTCTATACTTCTTGCCTTGACTTTTGTCCCCTCCTGTATAACCCCAAGGCTGGCATCATCGTGAAGTCAGGGCGAAGGATGCTGATTCTTCTGTTCCTCCAGGATAGCAATTCTCAACATACCTCTTCTATTTCACTGCTGTTTTTTCACATACTGGCTGACTGGGGCAAGTGGTTATGTGTGCTCTACTGAGGACCTCTGGAGCTTCTGGCTTAGGACTCTGGTAATAGGCCCAGTGTATTGAAGACCTCCTGGATCCCGCACATGCAATTATCAGTCATGAACCATGGGATGAGGGAGGGACAAGGACTTCCCTGACTTAGAAGCTAGATGGGAGATAACGCTCAGCTCCGGAGCAAAAGGGGGGGACAATCTGCTTTGAAATACATGGCTTTTCCTGATCCTGACCTCTATGACACCAGCCACCCCAAGAGTCTTGAATATCTAAAATTAGCACCTTTGACTTGAGATAGATTCTGTGAAACCCTGTAGAGTGCCCTCCCTGTCCCCCCCCCTCCCCGCAGTGGGCCCTAGTGCCAATGAGACAGCCTGTGGCCTCCCCGGAGTCTCACCTTGCAGAGAGTTTAAGAGGGTGAAGATGTAGATGGTGGACAAGCCCAGGGGTGTTAGAACAGCCAGCCCCCAGGTCATGCCCACCAGGCTCGAGAGGCCCAGCACCGTGAGGACCGACTTCCAGGTCTGTCCTGGTCCTTTGCCCGCTGTGACACTGGAAAGAGTGAAGATCTTCCAGGCTACCAGAGCCAGCACCACAGCACCGAAGAGGAAGGTGACCAGGAAGTAGCCGTGGACAGTAGCATAAAGGGCAAGCTCTTTCTGGAACCAGCACCTGGAGGAGGTAGATAGCCACTGGGGCTGGGAAGGAAAGCCCTGACCATTGAACCCCGGGAATCTTCCCCGGTTGATCCTTACTGACCAAGGAGATGCCCCCACCCCACCCCACCGCCTTTGGCTTTTCCTAGGCTTCCTCCCTTATTTCACCTTTTGACTCCAGACTTTCATTTACCTCCTGTACCACCAGCCGGCCGGGTCTGACTGTCCTCCCAGCCTTGACATTACTGTTCTCTCCCCAAGACCTCTTCCTCTCTTTCCCTCCACTGACGCTGAAGTCCTCTATACCCTCTGCCCCTGTCAGCCCCACTCACAGCTCCAGAGAGGTGCGGTTCTCCTGGTTGCGGATGGTATAAATGCCGTAACTGTTGCTACTCCCAGCACCGATAACCATAAGAACAGGCAGGCCTGGGGACAAGGGGAAGAAGCAGGCACTGCCAGTGTCCCCATGGTGGAGGTCTCCAGTCCCTCCATCCACCCTTCGCTCAAGCTTTGAGGCTTCCCTGACTTCTTCCCCTTGAGCCCTCCGGTCTCCCTTCTATCCCTCCAGCCCGTGCCTACCCCAGCCCAGCAGGCTTAGCTTCAGGAAATAGTGTCCAAAGTAGGTATTGAAGACCCTGATGGCCAGCAGGTAGAGATGGAAGGCCTCCAGGCCCATCCAGGTGAAGACACAGAGCAGAAAGTAGTGGAATATGGCAGCTCGGACCCAGCAGGAAGCTGGGGTTCCTTGAGTGCCGCTCCCCATATTGATCAAGAAGGTAAGATTGAGGAGAAACAGGCTGACGCTCAAGGCCATGTGGATCTTAGGGGCATCTTCAGACTTGAACCTCTGCAGAGAGAGCCTGGGAGAGAAAGGCCAGTGAGCAGCTCCAAGGAGCCACAGCCTGCATGGGGTTCCTAGGCTGGCCTATCTCCCTGCCTCCATTCCAGGCCACAGCTAGCCACTATCATCCTCATGGGCAGCTCCTGCCTGACCATTCAGTTTCCGCCTTTGCCAGGAGTCACTGTGCAAGTTCTCAGGTTCGAATTCACAAGCCCTTTTATGGCTTTCTGGGCTCTGGGGGTGCTGTGTCCTGCCAGCCTCAGTTCGACAGATTCTTTAGCTAAACTGTGTAACTTGAGACCCTGAGGGAGTTTTGTTTTCTCGTGCCTTTCAGGCTTGACTTTGCAGGTATCTCTCAGCAGCACAGCGGAATTCTCTGCCAACCCTTGCCATGGGGAGTCTACCCATGCTGGGCCTCAGAGTCATGCACGGTGGGCAGGAGGGCTCAGGATATGTTAGTTAGGTGAGTGGATGTGCGCGTGGGCAAATGTATGAGGCCTAGAATGTAACAGTGAAAGGAGCTCAGGGAGGGCCAGAGACTTGCTCAGGGTCCCCCCAGATTCTCTACCCAGTGTTCCCTGCTTCTCTTCCCTAAACCCTGAACTCCCAGCAAATGAAGTCCAGAAGGGCCCTCACTCAAAAGACAGAGCCCAGAGTTTTCTGTGGTAGAAAGATGAGGCAAGGTCTCCCTGAGCTGCCAGGCTCCAACACTGGGAGCTGCTGGCAGTTTCCTCTAGCACTTCAAGCTCGGCTCAAGAAGCACAGCCAACTGGCAAGGTACACTCAGCTCACTGAGGATGGGGACAGGGCTGGGGACTGTGTTCTATGCCAGTATTTGGTGGGGTGGGAGAGGTGAGGGATGGCATGGGTGCAACTCCCAGGGACTGAAGCCCAGGGATGCTTGGTGATTGAAGCACAGAGTCACATGAAAAGGGCAGTAGGGACCCCTGGACTGGAAAGATGGGAAGCCCAAACAATGCTCCAGGTGGGTTCCGGCGAGCTCGGGTTCAAGGGGCTTGAGATAGGCAGAGGCTTGGCAAGCAAGAAGCAGAGGCTGTTCCCATGGCCTCCTTCCAGTCAGCAGGTATGAGGGTTTCTGGGTCACAGCCTGGCTCCCGGTGACAGTGCTCTCTGTTCCTTGCATCTGTCCTATGCCTGTGCCTTGTTGGAGAAGCTCATGTGTCCCTGAAGCGGCACCCTTTCCCACATTTAGCCACAAGGAACTAGGGAAGTGGTGGCTAGTCCCGTGTCACTTAAATCCAAGAGTAGCCAAATGGCTTGGCCATTTGTTCTACCCTGTACCACTCCCATAGTGGCCCAATGGCCTGTGATAAAAAAACAACTGAGTATTCATGAGATAAACATGCACACACATAGAACATCCAGCACCCCAGAAGTGTGACTCCTAAAGTCCTGTGCCCACAGGGACCCATTGTTGCAACTAGGAGTCCTCTGAAGTTTCATTTAGACAGGGCCTTGCAAATCATGTCTTCAGTCCTGTGTGGATGTGGGCACACACATTCCCTTACACACACACACACACACACACACACACAACCACACATTCACACAGGCCCTCGGAGACACACAAGTACACAGATGCTATCTAAAGCAGTGGAACTGAAGGGGTCTTGAGACTACTTAGCCATGCTCTACCGCTGCCAACTTCCTGGCTTTGATGCCACTCCACAGTTACATATGGCATGATACTTGGGGAAGTTCCAGGAAGGAACCACAGACTGTCTGTGCTATTTTTGCAATTTCCAGTTAGTCTATAATTATTTTGAAATGTTTCTTCTTAAAGACTTCAATTCTGGAGCTTCATTTTTGCTTGAATATCTAAGGAGCTGGGACCTGAGCCTGAAGCACTTGAGGCCACAAGGTGAAATTAGCGTTCGGACAAAGGAGAGAGCAAAGCTGTGAAAAGTAAAGAGCCCCTAGTTCTAGCCCTGCCTGGAGGCCTAGCTGCGAGTTTTCTAGTTCTATGAAACACTCATGCCCTGGCCAATCTGAGTTGAGTTTCTGACACTTTCAACCTAAGCCCCTAGTCCTACCTTGTTAGTGGGCAGATGAAGGACCAGAGAAGACAGCGTGAGGCCACAGGACAAACACTTTATTCCTTTTCTATACCTTCCTGAGGGCAGGAGGGAGAGGGGATGGTGTCCACTCACCTGAAGGCAACATAGAGAACCATGGTGAAGGCCAGGAAGATCATGGAGACTCCACAGCCTGCCTGGGAGATGCGCGTGAGAGTCTGTGCCGTGGCCAGGTCCAAGATCGGCCTCTGTAGATGACCCCGAGTCTGGATCACATCACTGAGACCCACACATCTCCCAAACCCCAGCCAGCCAGGCAGCCTCTCCCAGGGACAGAGGCTGGACCATTGGGATCCACAGGATGGCACAGGAGGTTACCAGCAGCAAGGCGAAGAAAGTCAAGTGGTCACAGCGGCAGACGGTCCTCTCATCCCCGAGCTCTGTGGAGCAGCCTTGGGAATCCCAGTCTCCTGTGGGCCATGGAAAGGCAAGGGCAGAGGAAGGGCAAGGGAGAAAGGGAAGGGAGAGCCTGGCCCTGCCCTCACCCTCAGCCCTATGGAAGCCTGTAGCTTCCTCTTTTCCCATTCTAGGAAGGAGGTCTTCCAGACCTACCTTTAGCAACATCCCAGAATACACAGGTGCGGATCATATTCTGAAACCAGAGAGTGTGAGTCAGGAGAGGACAGAGGAGGGAAAGGGGGAAAGAAGAGAAGACAGGGTGTCACGAGGGGTCTGCGTGTGCTTTAAGAGGAAGGCCTCTGTGGGCTACACGGTGATGGGGGCACTGACTACCTCGGTCGATGCTCCCCGGACCATTGTGCATGTGGGAGACACGACGATAGGATACATTGCCTGGCTCTGCACACATGCCTTCAGGATCAGTGCCTGGCAGGTGTGGAAACCATGTATACAGAAGGGTTCTTCAAGTCTTCACACGCTTACGAGGGCAGAAGGAAGTGGGGACAAGTGTGTTCACATGTACAGGGCAGGCAGGTGTCTTTGGGCGTGACTGTGCACGACCCTTATGGTTTATTCTGGGTGTATGTAGAAGGGTAAAGGGTACAAGGTCCCATGCATGGCTTCTCAGAGCTCATGCACCATGTGCCCCTCAGTAACCGCCAGGACCGGGCAGAGGACTCACGGGTGGCTGATGCTCGTGGGAGAAGGTGATCTCCACAGGCTCCGACAGCCCGGTGGCATGCATCTGGCCCACACTCAAGCCCACCATTTGGTTGTTCAACACGCTGCTGCCATTGTCCTGAAGGAGCTTGGGGCCCTGGGAGGGGGTTGGCAGGAGGCTAAGCTGTGGAATGGGCTGACCTTACCTGACCTAGCTAGGGGTCTTGGGAATTCTAGGATATTCCCTGGATGGAGTCAAAAGTCTGAGACCAAGGGATCAGGGACCCAAGGGCCATAGACACCCTTTATCCTGCTGCTCCCTATAATACACTTGGGTGGGGCTAACTGGGATCAGCTCTAGGCTCCACACCACCTTGCTGAAAAGCCAGCCTCTTACATCTTTGAACTGGAAGAGCTTGAGGCTAAGATCAGCCAGGAAATGGGGCAAATGCCAGGGACCGCTCCCAGGTGGAGTGATGAGAGCTTCCAGATCCAAGGATGTATATACATCAAGGCTTAAGTGGATGGTCAGGAGCACACATCTGGCATGTATTGGCAAGGGAGTGTGTGTTAGCCCATGTAGAGACAGTCACATCTGAACACTCAAGAATACAGAAGGACACGTGTGTGTGTGTGTGTGTGTGTGTGTGTGTGTGTGTGTGCAGGTGAAAGGACACAGAAGCATGCATGAGCACACTTGGCATCTATACACAGCCCGCAGGGGCTGATGTCAGGGTAACAGAATAGTCTCCAGCTCACAGACGGTAGAAATGGTTCTTGGATGGCCTGGCTGCCTTCGAGACAAGCTCAGTGGACCCTGTCCCACTGGGCATTTTCAATGTTGCAGTTCCTTGGGCTCCCAGAAGGCCTCTTACCTTGAAGACATTCCCTGCACCAATATTCAGAACAGTTATGGCCAGCCGGAGTGCAGACCTGTTGCCAGGCAGGGCTCCAAACAGGCTCTTGGGAAGTCGGACTCTGTCAGCGGGCTGCTCCTCACCCCGCATCACCTGCCTCGGGATCTGCAACCATGGACCCATCAGCTCCCACCTTACCTCAGATTCTAGCCCCAGCTAGGATGGTGCTGCTACCATCCTAGCTGGGAGGAAAACTGCAGCATGCCAGGTGAAGGTGCGGCATCTGAGGTTAGTTCCGGGGGACAGAGCACCTGGCTCAGTCCAGCTCTGCTCCTCATGGGCCGGGCCCTCACACAAGCATCAGCAGTGGGGGCCCAGTTTCCCCATCACAGGACTCAACTGAGTATGTCTGTGTTGGTGCAGCCATGCTTGTCTTTTAAGTGTGGAGAGGGCCAATGAGGGGTATCCTGGGAAGAAGTGAGGGGAGAGCAGTGTGGTGACAAGGGACTCATATTCACCTTGACTGTGAAGTCGGTCCTGGCCAACAGTAAAGTGTTTTAGAAACCAAGCAGAGTTAGAATGCAGAAATCACCAGGCATGCTTTGTCTGGTGTCCGACTTCCTGGGTATCCTAGGGCTTCAGCTTGCAACCACTAGTTTCCTGCTTCAGAAGGATCCGTGTTCATGGAAACGGGAACTAAGAGTTGGGGCTGAGGCCCCAGGTTCACCTTCCCAGTTCAGATCTTGTCAAAAGGACACATGAGTGATGTCTTGGGCCAGATGTATACCCTACCCAGAAGGCACAGCATCATAAAAGGCCGAGGAAGTTGGATGATGAGCAACTCAGCCAGCTGCCTGGACCTCCATCCTTAACTTCCTCCCTGCAAGGAAGCTGAGCTTTCCTTGGATATTAACGCAGATGTTCTTTCTAATATGTTTATGGCTTGATTTATTTTGTTGGTTTTATTTGTTTGTATGTTTGTTTGTTTGTTGAAACAGAGGCTATCTGTCTCAACAAACAAAGCCTGTGCTGGCCTGGAGCTAAGGAGCAATCCTCCTGCCTCTGCCTCCAGCGTGTTGGGAGGCAAGTATGGATCATCCTGCCTGTCTTCAGATATTCTTTTTTTTTTTTTTTCAGATATTCTTGAAAGGAGGCAATACTCTCATCACGAACAGGTGAGAAACCAGGGGATCAGAAAAGTAAAGTACCCATGATGGCAATGGCTGGTAAGGGCAGAAATGGGGTTTGAGTCTGAGCCAATGTAAATGTAGAGCTCTCCCATTCAATTTCTCTGAGGGTAAGCATGCCCTTACTTTGACTTCAGAGGGGCTAATGGGTGTGTTAGGCTTGGAGGAGACAGAGACTCATCTTCTAGATGAGCACCCCACGGAGGAAAGAGACTTCCTGAGGACATCAAAGGCAGTGGTAAGAGGACCAGTTCAGAGATCTCCCAGTACCCTGGCTAATCCACCACCAGGTTCCATTCATTCAATTCATTGACAGAGCTATGCTGAATAGGTCTTAGGAGGGACAAGTTTTGACAGGCACCAACAGAGGTCTGAACCAGCCAGCAGGAAGCTCATCACCTGGGAGGGCATAAGAGAGAACAGCAGGTCTTCTGAGATGTCCGTACTGATGTTCTGGATCAACGCCTTAACAAAGGGCATGTCCACAGTCTCCATGGAATTCTCCAGCAGGTAGGACTCATAGTTCAACCAGTATCTGCAAAGGGGTAAGGGATTGGAGGAAGAGGAGCTTGTGGACTGAGCTACCCACTTATTGAGCTCTTGGGATGATAGCTATCCCAGAATCCCAGAGACCACAGGCTCATAATGTGAAGAAGAAGAGTAAGTAACTTGGGAACTGACCCTGAAAGAGTCCAGCTGAAGATTGGGTGTCTTAATGTTTGTCTTTTAAAATGTTTATTTTGTGTGCATGAGTGTTTTGCCTGTGTATACGTATGTGCATGCCTGGTGTCCTTGGACTTCAGAAAAGATTTCATGGCATTGGCATTAGGATGGTCATGAGCCACCAAGTGAGTGCTGGGAACCAAACCTGGGTCCTCACAAGAGCAATGAGTGCTCATAGATGCTGAGGCATCTCTCCATTCCACGTTTATCTTTTAAAATAGTAAAATATCAGATACAGTCCATACATTAGCCATTGTAGACAGTAGTGTTCAGTGGTGTTGAGCACATTCACAGTGCTCTGAAACCATCCCTACTGTTTACTTTGGAGCAGCCCCATCTCCAGGGAAGGAAACCCCATGCTCACAACCCCTTCTCTAGCCCCTGGAAACCATCAATCTAATTTGCGTTGTGCCTCTGTAAATCCCCCCTCTTCTTCTTTAGACAAGGTCTCATGTGGCTTAGGCTGGACCTGTACTCACTATGCAGCCAAAGATAACCCCACAGCCTGATCCCACAGAAGCCTCCTCCTCCTCTGGAGTGCAGGGACTACAGGCATGTGCTAACCACACCCATTCTTTTTTTCAGTGTTGGGCTTTGCGCTTGCTAGATAGAGCACAAAGATTTTACCAATCCAGCCGCATCCAGCCCAAACTTTGCCTATTCTGAACTTACAGTATATTGAAGCACATACCCTGTGATCCTCCAAGTCTAGCTTCTCACATTTAACACATTGTTTCCCACTCATCATTGCTGAAGCCTGCATCGTGGCTTCAGTCCTTCTGAAATGCACCATCTACTGGTGGGCTTATAGCTCTGTTCATCTGTCCACTGGTGGGCATACAGATACACTGCTCCACTGATGAGCACATATGGGTTCCCACCACTGATGGACACATGGGTCTTGACACCCATCCTGTGATGGACATACTGCTCTGCCTATCCACCCACTGATGGGCATTCGAATACTTCCCACTATGCTGGACAGTTTTTGTCAACTTGGCGCAAACTAGTCACCTGGGAAAGGGACTGAGAGACTGACTCCATCACACTGTCCTGTGGATATGTCTATAGGGCATCTACTTGATGAATGATTGATGTGGACTCGGTCCACTATATGTGCAGGTGATCATAGGTTGTATAAGAAGCAAGCTGAATGGTCATGGGGAGCAAGCCAGTAAGGAGTGTCCTCCCAACTGTCTGCTTCAGTTCCTGCCTCCAGGTTCCTGCTTGAGTTCCTGCCCTGGAGTCCCCTCAGTGATGTGGACCTGGAAGCCAAATAAACCCTTTCTCCCCATAAGTTGCTCTGGATATGGTGTTTATCACAGCAACAGAAAGCAAGCGAGAACAACAACTTTCAGCTATGGTGAGTAGGGGTGCTGTGCAAATGCATGTATGGGCTTATTTTAAGCTATTTTGACATATACACATGAGTAGAATCATTAGGTCATACGGTAATTCTCCATACAGCTTCTTGAACAGCTACCAAATAGTTTCCCACAGCAGCTGCGCCATTTCACGCTCACACCTGCAGTGTATGACAGCCCCAGGAGCTCCAGAGCCTTGCCAACACAATGGTTTTGTTTTGTATTTTTTTTTTGTTGTTGTTGTTGTTGTTTTGAGACAGGGTTTCTCTATGTAGCTCTGGCTGTCCTGGCTCTGGCTGTCTCACTCTGTAGACCAGGCTGGCCTCGAACGCAGAGATCTCCCTGCCTCTGCCTCCCAAGTACTAAGATTAAAAGAGAGAGAAAGAGTGTGTGTGTGTGTGTGTGTATGTATGTATAGCAGGGTTTCTCTGTGTAGCCTTTGCTACACAGAGCAATCCACCTGCCTCTGCCTCCTGAGTGCTGGGATTGCAGGAGTGTGCCACTGCACCCAGCATGTGTGTGTTTTAACTGTAGCCATCCTCATGGGTACAAAGAGATGTCTCCCGGTGCTTTGATTTGCATCTTTTTAAGGACCAGTGAATGAGTGCTAATTGTATACTAGAAATTTAGCACTTGAAAGTTTAGCCACAAAAGAAAGAGGAAGGGAAATAAGAGAGAAAAAGAAAGGAAAACGGAGCCACAGACCAGCAAGACCCCTCGGTTAGGAAAGGCATGTGTTGAGAAAGCCTGATGACCTAAGCTTGATTCCTGGAACCACATAAAGGTGGAAAGAGACTGACTGGCTAAAGCTGTCCACTGACCGCCACAGTGTGCAGTAACATGCATGACCCACCCATGCCAGAGATGCAACAATAAGCAGTTTTTAGAGGGTTTTTTTTATTGCCTTAAAAAAAACATTTTAAAAATGTATTTTAATGCATATGAATGCTCTGTTTGTTTTCACAGCACACCAGAAGAGGGCACCAGATCTCATTATAGATGGCTGTGAGGTGGTTGCTGGGAATTGAAATCAGAACCTCTGGAAGAGCAGACAGTGCTCTTAACCACTGAGCCATCTCTCCAGCCATAGAGTTTTTGTGTGTGTGTGTGTGTGTGTGTTTTTTTTTTTTTTTTTAAGATAGGTCTTGTTTTGTAGCCTTGTCTGGACTGGAACTCACTATGTAGAGCAGGCTAGTCTTAAATTCATAGAGATATACTTGCCTCTGCCTCTCAAGTGCTGGTATTAAAGGCATGCGCCACTATGATTGGCTTAAATAAATCTTTTGTTTGTTTGTTTGTTTTTTAAGAAAGAAAAATAAGCCAGAAGGGAATCGATTTCCTGGGGAGCAGACGGTATTAGAGACAAACAGAACAGAAAGACTGATCATTTGTTCTATGGGGAGGCTGGCTGGTGTCACTCTCCGTGGTGCTGAAACTTAGGCTGGTCTGGCGCTTGGGCCCCTCTCACTGTGCTGGGCCCAAACTGCTGCTTTCTGAGCACTTAGATCACAGCCACACATGGCCGCCTCTTGCCGAAAATCTTTTTAAATACCTTTATTTATTTCCTTATTGCATTGCATGTCACAGTTTGGGTCTGGAGGTCAGAGGACAACTTGCAGGGGTTGGTTGTCTCATTCTTCAATGTGGGTTCTAGGAATTGAAGTCAGGTTGTCGAGACTGTGTTAAGAGGCTTCACCTGCTGAGCCATTTCCCCAGCACCTTCAACTCAGTTTTGTTTTTCTTTTAATGTGCTCCTGGAGATGAAAACTCAGGTCCTCATGCTTGTGTGCCAGGCACTTTACTCCCCAGCCCTCTATTCACTATTCCCCTTCCCAAGAAACTCCGGATAGGTGAAGGCTGAGGTAGTGACAGGAAGCAAGGGGACTAGAGGGAGACACATCCAGGCTGAGGCTGTGGAAAGGAGTAGATATGGAGACAAAAGGAAATTCTCACTGTGTGTCTCTCTGTTTTTCTTCCTCTCTCTCTCTCTCTCTGTGTGTGTGTGTGTGTGTTTGTGTGTGCGTGCTTGTGTGTAAAACACAGGATCTCAGGCACGCTAGGCAAGTACTCTACCACTAAGCTACACCACAGCTGTTGCTGTTGTGAAAAGCCACGGTTATCAAAGAGAAAGGGCTCTATAGAGACAACAGAAAATAGACTGTAAAACAGATAAGTAAGCCATGCAAATATATGCAAGTATTCTTGGGTGGAGACACCATAAGAAAACCATTGACCAGAAACAGAGAGATGAGGCTGTCAGAATTCACTGAGCAACACAGATTATCCTGCCTTGAGTGTCAGAGAAGTGTTGGCTTTTATTGGTACCAAATAAAATAGAAATTGTAGACATATTAAGATTTTTGTTGCCACATAAAATGGTAGATGGTGAACTGAATATCTGTTTATATATGTTCCTATTTTACATACTTAAATAGCTTTCCCATCTTTGCAAAACTGTCCAATTCACAGTTCTAAGGAAGAGTCCCCAGGGTGGTTCTTGGGTATGGTGAACTCTCATTATTTTATGTTGCCTTGGTGTCGCCCCCTCCTCTCTTGTGTAAGACAGGCCCAGGCTGACCTCCAGATCACAGCCCTCCATTTCCACACCCTCACCCCTTCTGCAGTCTTTCTATGTGTTCAGTGCAGACATCTGCCTCACAGTAAGCTGCTCCTGATGACCACTCCCCATGAGGACAGATAGAAGTTAAGATACTTGGCTGAGCCCCCGCCCCAAACCCACATATGGACCATGCAGATACATTCAGGTGACCACCCTCTGCCAGAGAATGACCTCCTGGAAATTCTGACAAAGAAGCCAGAAGAAGGAGGGAGGAAGAAAGGAAGGTGGGGGGAAGAGAGACAGAGACAGAGGGTTAAATGACCATTTTACCAAAGAAAACCTCCAAATGGCCAATGAGCACACACACAAATGTTGAGGTTCATTAACCACGATGAAATGCCAATGGGAACTTCAAGTGATGCATCTCTACACTAGAGTGGCCAGAAACACCCGAGGTTCTGCTGACAGGAAGCAAATGGCACCACAACTTTGGGAAACAGTTTGGCAGTCTTTTATGGAGCTCAGCATATATTCAATGTATATTCCAGCAATTCTGTTCCCAGGCATAGATCCTCACCAAACAGCAACATATGGCCTGAAAGACTTGAATTAAAATGTTCATGGGAACAATATTCAGACTAATCAAGAACTGGCACCAATTCAAATGCCCATCAATTGGCAAATGGACGACACAGCGTAATATATTTGCATGGGGTAATCGAACTAAAATAAATACCATAAAATATGGATGAGCCTCGCTGTGCTTAAAGGAAGGAAGGAAGGTCAGTGTAAAAGAGCTCTCTTCATACAAAATGCCCAGAGGCAATCCTAAAGAGGAGGTGGCTTTCCAGAGCCCACTGTGGGGAGGCAGGAGCAGCAGTGGGGGTCGCAGACAAGCAGAAGAGAGTGACTGCAGTGCCGGCCTCACACACCATGTAAATATCCTAATACTGAACCCTGATCTAATGATGAACAGAATATGTGGGGCATCGGTTGCGTGCACATCAGGGTACCAAGACTGCGGTGGTGCTCACTCTGACGCCTGCACTTAGGTGGGGTGGGGCAGAGGGGAGCTCCAGATCATCCTTAGCTACACAGACAAGTTGAAGCCTGGGCTATATGAGACCCTGGCACTCCCCACAATCCCCCGAAAAAAATGCACCAAAATGTAAAACCAAATGAATCCAGCACTGCATAAATCAGCTGTGGCAGCACACGCCTGTAATCCCCTCACTCAGGAGATGTGATCGGAAGGGCAAGGCTATCTTTGGTTATATAGTAAGTTTTAGGCCAACCTGGGCTCGGGACTATCAAGAAAGTGAGGGAGGGTGGAGGAAGGGGAGAGAGACAGAGACAGAGACAGAGAGAAGGTCTGGTCCGCTCCTGCTCCATCCCTTCAGTTTGCCCTTTATCTTCATAACAACACCATCTTCTGTTACTTTTCTTATCTCTATAACAGGATACCTAGCAGGAGCAGCCTAAGGGAGGAGCCTGGTTCGCAGTAAAGCGTTCTGTCCACCACGATGGGAAGGGCATGGTGGGCAGAGAAGCTCTGTCCGTGGCAGCTGACTCTCTGATCACACCCTGTGTGTGATCACTCACACTCATGTCACACTCACACTGAGTCATCACTGTGTGCATCCCTAGTTTGTCTCTCCATTGCTCCCAAGGCAGAGATAGGCTGATGAATCTCTGCATCCCCGAGTCCAATGGCTCTCAACCTCCCCAACGCTGAGACCCTTCAGTACAGTTCCTCATGTTGTAGTGACCCCCCCAACCAAAAACTTTCTTGTGGCCCCTTTATAACTGTAATTGTGCTGCTGTTATGAATTAGAATGTAAAATTTGTGTTTTCCGAAGGTCTTGGGTGACCCCTGTGAAAGGGTCATTTCGCCCTCAAAGGGGTCGAGACCCACAAATTGAGAACGAGTGTCCTAGTCTGTAGGGACTCTGATAGCCAGGGTAGGGCCAAGCCAGGCGGAATACGAAAGGGTAAAGAAGGAAGCAGCGCTGTTGTTCTAGGGCCCTGGGGGAATGTGACCCTACGGCTTCCCAGGAGGCCACGCCTCCCATTCCGCCCAGACTCCAGTCCCCTCACCTCTCCAAGCTCCCCACATCACAGGATCCGTCCTCCTCCGACTGCCCACACTTGGTGAAACACTTAGCAACGTCATTCAAGTCGAAGGTGTCATACTCGTGATTCCCGTGGTGCTGGCAGACATTCCTGGGCTTTTCAATGGCCATCTCACCTGAGTGGGGGGCGGGGTGGGGTGAGAGCAGAGTGAGATGGGGCAGGCGGGCGGAGGAGGGGCAGCGGGCTGCGAGAGGCGGTAGCTGCACCTACCCTCCCGCTAGCAGGCTCCGCCCGCAAAGATCCTAAAGTTCTCAGGGGAAAGACAAAAGCGTTTTCACCAGGCCCTAGACAAAAGCTCTGCATGGCAGTGCGCAATTAAAAAAAAACAAAAAGTATTGCCATTCTTCAACCACCGCTTCCACAGACCCTGCGTGGCTTCCTGCCGTTGCTTCATCAGACCCTCCAGGCTGGGCAGCTGTGGCCGATTCTACAACGCTTAAAGCACGCTGGCTTGTTTTGCCTTGGCCTCCCAGCTTTGCCTGGAGCAGGTAGAGGCTGCACAGCAGGCTGAGGCTGCCCAGCAGAGTGACTGGAGCAGTCAACAGGCGGTCGGGAGCTGCTCCAGGACTAGCTAGAGACCTAGTGCAGAGCCCTGTGCTGTGGAGGCAAGAAACTTCCTGTCACCGTTTAGCTGTTTGTCCTCAGGCAAATTACTCAATCGCTCCGAGGCTCCGGCTTTTCACACTTTATGTTTTAGATGATAAAAAGAGATAATATACCTGGGCACACAGTCCATCTTAGGTGTTTTGGAGAATGTGATTTGATTGATGATTAATTGATTGAAATTGAGTTAGTCTCTCTATATAGACCTGGCTGTTCTGGAATTCACTGAGTAGACCAGATTGGCCTCAAATTTACCCCCCTCTGCTTCCCAAGTGCTGAGACTTAATGCCTGAGCCACTACACCTGGCTACAGAGTGATTTTTGTTTTGTTTTGTTTGTTGTTTGTTTTTCGAGACAGGGTTTTCTCTTTATAGCCCTGGCTGTCCTAGACTCCCTTTGTAGACCAGGCTGGCCTTGAACTCACAGCTATCTGCCTGCCTCTGCCTCCCAGAGTGCTGGAATGAAAGGCGTGTGCCACCACACCCAGTTTCTGGTATGTTTTTTTTCTTTGTTATAAATTTATTTTTTTTGTTAATTACAATTAATTCACTTTGTATCCCAGCTGTAGCCCCCTCTCTTATCCCCTCCCAACTCCATCATCCCTCCCTCTTCTCCTCCTTTGCCCCTCCCCCAGTCCACTGATAGGGGAGGTCCTCCTCCCTTCCCTCTGACCCTAGCCTATGAGGTCTCATCAGGACTGTCTGCATCGTCTTCCTCTGTGGCCTGGTAAGGCTGCTCCCCCATCAGGGGGAGGTGAACAAAGAGCCAGCCACTGAGTTCCTGTCAGAGACAGTCCCTGTTTCCCTTACTAGGGGACCCACTTGGACACTGAGTTGCCATGGGCTACATCTGTGTAGGGGTTCTAAGTTATCTCCATTCATGGTCCAGATTGGAGTATCAGTCTCAGAAAAGACCCCTGTGCCCAGGTTTTTGGGTTCAATTGCACTTCTTGTGGAGCTCCTACAGTATGGTTTTAATTGAAGCAAAATTGGTGTGTGTGTGTGTGTGTGTGTGTGTGTGTGTTTGTGTGTGTGTGTGTGTTTCTATCCTCCACTGTTTGTCAGCTTCTGTCATAGGAATCTGCGTCAGATTTTCACCAGGTGTGTGGGGATTGGCTTGTGGCTCAGGAGAGCTTGTGTCTGGCATGTACAATGGGTCCATCCTTAGTGTCCAAGGCAGTCATTGTAGGCAAGGGTGGGGCTCACCCTTGTAGGAAACCCTGTCACCAAAAATAAACATTGCTATCAGAAAGAAATGCTGCTAGGCTTTCTCAAAGCTCCCTTCAGAAAAAAGGCCCATATTACACACTCCCACTGAAGGTGGCAAGAGTCAGCATTTGCATACATGCTTCCAAGGCCCAGACTTCACCAGAAGTATCTGCCAGTCTCCTTCTAATCTAAGAAAGAGTTACACATCCTTCTGTGTGTTTGCTGACCATTCCCACATCTTTTTCTGGGAACTGTTGGGTCCTTTGCACTCGAGTGTGGGAAGGATCTTCTCATTATGGTCTGTTCCTTTCAGGTTGGTCCACCAGGAGCTGTGACAGAGCTAAGATGTGGAGTCCTGGGGGAGAGGAGGGTTGGGCATTTGCTTTTTAAATACCTTTTGCCAGTATTTAACTTAAAAAACATTATCATGGACATTGCTACTTTCAATTTAAAGGAAGCTGGTTCACTTTCAAATATTAGGACAGAAAATAAAATTCATGATAAAGGAATGGCAGAGCAAAGAGTAAAACAGGGTAAAATGTATTAGAGCATATTTTATAAAAGTGGGGTCTGTATGTGACAAAATTTAAATTCGCTTAGACTCTTGGCTACTTTGTGGGGGCTATTTAAGATGCACTGAGGCCCAGTGCTAGGCTCAGTCTCTGGGAGAGTTCATTCTTTCATTCACATGAAATCTGAGGAAGAGTGGAGAGAAGAAAGGACTCAATGAGGGCAATGTGATCAGGGATCAGAAAAGGGGACGGGTGGCCTTAGGGTAGGTAAGAACACAGTTTTCCTCCATCTTGCTGTGAACCCCAGCAGGGCACCCAAGGGACACTCTTAGCACCCAACACAGAAGTATAGAGAAGAGTCCTTGTGGCTTAGCCCAGGCTGCACCTCAAACTCAAGATTCGGGGGAGCGCTGGGACAGCAAGTGTGTCTCCCTCCTCTCTCCCTCCCCACCCTTTCCCGTGCCACACTCAGTGGGAAGATTGTTAAACATGTGTTGTGGGGTTGTTTTCTGAGGACTTTGAAAACCTCAGTGTGAGTTCAACAGTTGGGAGTGCAAACAGGTGAAGGCAAACCGAGGTCAGAGGCCAGAAGTTAATCCACTGCCCCTATAACCTGTTCCTTATCTCGTCAGTCCCCTTCCTACACTCACCATCAGCCTCTTTCCCTTCTACAGCCACAGCCTGAGCACAGCCCAATCCTTACCCTTCAGGCTCAGAGTGCCACGAGCCTCCCCCAGGCAAGCAGCTACCACGTTTGTGCCCCTTTTTGGCACCCTGTACCTCCTGAGTGAGTAAATAGCCAGTGGGTAAGTGGACAAATGGCACCGATGCACCAATGATCACAAAGGACAGACTATAATGTCTAATCTAAAGCCATTCAGATGACTGGCACATCACCCAGTCCTGAGCATCTCTGCCACCACTGGGTCCATATCACCACTGGGAGGAGCCTTGTTGGCCTGCCCAGGGTTGCCTGGACTGCCTGCTCTGCCCCAGATGTCCCCTGACCATGAGGAAAACAGCACTGTCACTTTCTCTCCAGAGTCTTCAAAGCTCAGGCTGGCTTCAAACTCCCTATGTGGTGGAGACAGAATTCAGAGATTCCTGCTCCTTCTGCCTCTACCTTCTAAGTGCATGTGTCACCACACCTGGTCCACTCTTGAGCCAGACACCTAACTCTGTTGTCTGCTGACTTCCCCAAGGAGAGGAGACTTTTTTAAACCAAGAGATGCTGATCCATGTGGCCAGTCACATGTCCACAATGACAGATGCTCAGAGAGGTGGACATCTAGGATACTTGCTAAAGTTGGAGCCAACAAGGAGGGGCTGGGTGCTGAGACAAGAGTGCCTCGCCACTCCACAGAGCTGTCGCTCAGCAATCAAGAGGAACACAGAGCCATCCACGGAGCCAGGGGTGGGAGCTGGCTGTCCTGGGGGAGAGGCAGGACTGAGAACCTTGTTGGTATGTTAAACTGAACTGCGTGAGACAGGAGTGGTCTGCGTCCCAGCTCCTGTCACTGATGACACTGTGATCAGTGCTGATGGGCGGGGGAGCCTGTGATGGATGGGCTACAGGGGCAGAGCAGCTACCCACCATTCCAGACTCGACTTCGAGAGGTCCCAATGCCGTCACCTGGAGCCCAGGGGCCAACTGAATAGCTCGATTGGCCCACCATGTCTGAGAATCTGGCTCTAGGCAGGATGGGTAGATATTTCTCTTTCCTCCCCACCTACAGCACCCTGTAGAGGGACAAAGGGAGCCTGAGACCCAGCATGATGGACTTTATTAGCAGAGAGATGACCTAATGGGACAAGGCCAAAAGACATGATGAGATGGTCACTGCGACTCCTCACTTTCCCGCCATGTCTGAACCCCTGCATCTCTTCCCATGCTTCCCAGGGCCCTCTGTAACACAGGGTCTCCCAAGCTTAGCAGGAGGGCTAGAGGAACCCACACTTGCTCACCTGAAACCAGCAGTAGAAAGAACAGGAGGCCCGGGCTCCCAGCTACTGCCATCAGTAGTCAGCAGAGTCCTGTGGCTGCGTGGTCACCCCGTCCCAAGCTCTGCTCAACTGACCTTCTTCCTGCCGCCTAACGTGTAGACACTGTTTCCTGTGGCCTCTCTCTCGTTCTTCCTGTCCAATGAATGGCGCCATCGGTGGGGTTGTGAAAGGTGAATGCAGGGAACTGGGTGGTGCTCCAAGCTCCAAGTCTCACGCGCCCCTGAGACCACCCACAGATGGAAGTGGGCTGAACTCCCACCACCCTGCCGGTGGACACTGAGGAGCTGGAGGCCATCAGCCACAGGAGTCTCTGCCCAGAGAAGCCCTAAGGCTTGGAGTCACACCTTCCCCATTTCCCTAGTAATGGTCTCTGAGGCTCATTCCTATTTCGGTATGTGTGTGCACGCATGTACTTGATTCATCTTCTTCCTGCCTGGGCCAGCAGCGACCATCTTGGGAATTATCTGATTGATTACTATCACACGCTAGTGCTGGTTAACTGATTATGCAGCTCACGGAGCGGAGCAACTCCGTGCATCTCATGTCAGCAGTCCTTCCCATGACTGTGAGAGGGGCCAAGCAACGGACAGTTGCCTCAGGGTCCCATGCAAGCTGATTGCCAGTGTCCAGATCTGAGGAGACCTGTAAGCAGCCAAGCACACCCATGACATGGAAAGCATACAGGCAAGGCCAGATGTGAACCCAACCCACTGGGCCCTGAGAGGAGAGAGGAGCTGACGCTGCAAGCCTTGAGCCTCTCCCAAGGCTGGATAACCAGGAGAATAAACTGGAACGGAAGGGTGAGCCCTGTGGAGGTGGGGGGAGGTGACCACACAGACATAATCTGTGGAGGCCACTGCCTGGCCTGCTGACCCTGCAGAAGCTGTCTGCTGCTTGGCCCCTCTCACATGGACAAGGCCAGGCCCTTGGTTGTCCACAGCCACTTGGGTGAATGGGAGAGCTCACTAGGCACCCCTGTGACTAGACCCCTGTCTGTTCCACTCTGGGGTCTTTCAGGGGAGCTGTCCAGCTATAGCTATCCTCTATCTCTCCTTCCTTCCACATGGTCTCCTGCTGGGCCCTTTGGACCTGAGGGGGTGTGGGAAGGGGTGGTGGGTCACTCCTGTTCCGTAAAAGGTAGGTGGGGATATGGGCTGGAGTCCCAGGTCAGAATCCAGAAGTTCCTGTGTCCTCAAGCTTCCTTTGACAGGAAGATGGGAGCCACTGGGCCTGCCCCTCCTCCAGCCAGCCTCCTATGGCTGTTTGTGACCTCCCTCCTAGAGCTTCTGGCGAGGGCAGGAGAGTGAGAGATGGTGGTCCCTGACATGTCGACCCCAGAGTTCTCCCAGCTGCTTTCCCTGGAGCAGCGAGAGATGGGGGTGGGGTGTGACTGTAGACCTGGGCTCATCTCAGACTTCAGAGGCAGAGGAATGATTCCCTCCTACCCTCCCCCCTCCCCCGCTCCCTCCCGATCTCCCTAGTTTTCTTGACAGTCTCACTATACAGTCCAGCCTGGTCTTGGAGTCTCAATCCTCCTGCCTCAGCATCTTAAGTACCGGGATCACAGGTGCCACCACACCCTGCTTTTTATAGATCTTAGCACTTGAACACAAGCGGGGACAATCATAACCTAAGGGGACAGACGCCGGAGACATGCCTCACCTGTGTCACATAGGGGGAGGAGAGATGTGAGGAACAGTCTAGAAGCAAAATCATTTCATGTTTGCAGCTCACCTGCTCCAGACTGGTGGCCAAACTGGTCCCTGTTGTCACATGACCAAAGTCTGAACTCAACTCAGCCCTCAAGAGTGGCCTCTTTGGCTAGGAAAGGTTTTACATGTGCCAAATTGTGAGGTCAATGGATTTTACACCCCAGGCTGGATTCCCCATGAAAGGCAACTGATGTGGCTTTCTGGGTCCTCCACGGTAGTCATGTCCAGCTGCAGCTGATGGTCACAATCTCCAAAGCACACACTAGTTGGCCACACTTTCCTGGGAAAGTGTCCCCAGGCACTTTCTCTCCCACACTGCCCTCTCCTCTTGGCCACTTCTTGATTATCCCTGAGACATCTGACTCAGCAATGCTAAAAAAAAAAAAAAAAAAAAAAAAAAAAAAAGATGAAAAGTCTCCAAACTGTGTTGCTTTGCCATGGCATTATATAACAGCTGGTTTTTATTTTCCTTCTCAACAATCTCCTACAGTTTCCAGACTCTCTACAAAGAGCTTTAATATCAAAAGACAAATGAATTGGTACTGAAAAAGAGCATCCTTCCCAACTTGAAGGCTGAGGTCAAGATGAAATGCCGCCTCCTGAAGGAAGTCCTCCTGGGTTGCCAGCCCTGTACCTAAAGCTCCAGGACATTGAGAGAGCTTTCAGGGGCCATTGCCAGGTCTGGTGACTTGTATTCTTACCACCTGGCACAGCCAGCATAAAACCAGGATGTGTTAGTAGGACAGAATTCACCACAAAAGGCAACCCGGTGTCCTCAGAGCCATCTGTGGTGATTTTGAAGACCACCCCTCATGAGAATATCAAGCTTGGCCAGTGTCACCAGAGAGGGGGCTGTCTGGATCTTCAGCATGCTGGGTTGAAAAAAGCGCCACATCCCACAATTCTTGCTGGAGGGAGGCTTCTGGAGAGGCAAAGGCCCCTCTGAGGTGTGAGCCAAGGTGAGGCAGCTTCGGAGAAAGGCTCAGACAGGTTGGCCTGGTCCAGCCCAGGAACCAAGGCCCACACAGCAGACAAAAGTTTATGGCAGGCACCAGGAAACTCCTGGAAACTGCTTCCCCAACTGCTTCACAGCATTGGCCTGGGACCCCATCTACCTTCAGTGCCACCCTCAGGATCAGAAGTCAGAGACAGGCAAAGTGCTACGTGGTGACCACAGGGACAGAGCGGCAAGAGCCAAGGCAGCCGTGCCTCAGGCAGGATGTGTCAGCCTCTTAGATCTAACCTAAACCCTAGTTTGGGCCTGCAGGTCTCAACACCCAGCAGCTGGGCCCAGAGGTGGCTAGAAAGACAAGGCCCCAGCTCCAGGCTGAAACAGCTGTGAGGACAGCCCAACAGACAGAATGGCAGTGTGCTTCTGAGCCCTTTGGGGACCAAAGTAGTTCCCCAAGATCAGCTAGGTATCTACCTATCAGAGCGACAGCCCTATCCCTTGTAGGACCAGGGCCTTCTCTAGCATGCCACTAACCAACGAAGGCAGGGCACAGCACCAGGCCACAGACAGTGTGAGCGGAGGCCATATGTGTGTTCTCCCAAGGGGAGCTGGGGCGGTGGCCTAGATGCGGCTGGAAGAGGTGCTGCCGGAGCTGATGGGGAGCTTGACGCTGTCAGAGTTGCTCTTCAGAGGTGAGGGACCACCTTGGGACTGGAACCGCATGGACCAGTACCACAGGAAGATGAGGAAGCCTGTGGACAGCAAGACAGAAGGGTCACCAGGCAGCAAGACTGTCTAGCCCTTGCTCCTTTCTCTAAGAGTGCCTCTGCTCCAAGGGTCCTGCCATGTACTCAGGGCCCTGGAGCTACTTGGAATGGTTCAGGACACTGTGGCTTATCTGAGTCTCCTTGGGTGGCTGCAAGCTTTCTTGACCACTCTGTCTGCCTCACGGGAACTGAGTGGGTAGCTCAGGCTGCCACCCTGGGGTTTCTTATACGGCCTGTACATAGTAAGTGCCTAGCAAAGTCTTGTCCTACCGGTGGCCTGCAGGCACCCATTTTGGAAGGAGACAAATGAGCCCAGAAAAGGGAGTATTTGGGGTTCCCTGGCCACCTCTTCCTTCCGCTCCACGTCTGGACAGCCTAACACCTGGAGGGGCAAGGTGCTACGGAGCAGGACCAGGGCCCACGCCATGCCTACCTTGGAAGGAAGTTACAATGCTGAAGAGGTAGAGGATGACAAGCTGGAAGGTGCCAGAAGCAAAGGAAAAGAAGACCAAGGCCCAGGGAAGGCCAAGGACCAGGCTGAGGCCCAGCAGGGTCAGCACGTGGGGCCACTTCTGGCTGTGTGGACGAAGCCGCAGGAGCTGCACCACCATGGTGGTCAACATGGCCAGGTTGAACAGGAACACCAGGCTGAAGAGGCCCAGGTTAGTGACATAGCTAACCAGGGAGTCACGGATCCAGCACCTGGAAACAGCAGGAAGCTGGGCTCAGCTCAGGGGTGGGAGCATCGGGGCCCTGGAGGGTGCCGGGCAGGGTGCCTGGACCACTCATTATTTACAGGCACTGCTGGCCTTCTGTTTATAGTCTTCATGTGATTTTAAAAGTTAGTTTAAAGAATATATTTATTTTTAATCATGTGTATGCGTCTCTGTGGCTATGTACACGGGAGTGCTGGTGTACATGGAGGCCACTGAGGTCAGAGGCGTCAGACTTTTTTGGAACTGGAGTTATCGGTGGTTGTCAGCTGCCTTATGTGGGTGCTGGGAACCAAACTCAGGTCCTCTGCAAGAGCAGTATGCACTCTTAACCACTGAGCCATCTTTGGTGTCATTTTGAAAGAAAGGAATGTGTTAAGGAACCCATGTTCTTGACAGTGCAAGGTTGAGGCAAACCTACGAGGCCTTGGGGGGTGGGAGGCAGGGAAATGCCTTCAACACGGAGCCAGGGGCAAGCATTCTCCCTGGCCTGGTACTCAAGCACCCTGGCTTCCGGTTTCAGAGTGTCCTCTCGCAGCTGACATGAGTTAGGAGGGTGGTGGAGGGCTCATCCTGACCCCACTTCCGTACCAACCCCACCTCCACACCAGCTGACCCATGTGCTAACCACCGTTGGTCAAGAGTGAGTCCCCATGCTCTCTGGGCCAAAGGCCTCCATCTGCCTCAGAACTAGTGACTGTCTGTAGTAAGGAAGCCTGATGGGAGACCTTGTGACCCCACACTCCTCCACTGAGGCTCAGAGAAAGGCCAGGCACCTGATCGCTGAGGGCCAGACTTGGCTTCTCTTAGTTCCTCTGATCTTTAGCCCCGGGCTCTGGCCAGCACCCAGGCCCAATCCTCCAGCACACTGGAGCCCACAGCCTCCTGGCCACACTGGCCAGGGAAGGCTGCTGTCCCCGCCCATCTCTTGAGGCCCATACTCCTGCCCCTAGCACAGCCACTCACATAGAAGGGTATATGACGTGCTCTGGAGTCCGGCGCACAGCCAGGATAATGGGGCCATAGTTGTTCACATCGACCAGCGCCACCAGAGTGACCAGGAAGACCGGAAAACCTGCAGGCAGCGAGCAGAAGCTCAGGCTCCACCTCCAAACCCATTTTCTCTGCTCCCATTAGGCTTGAGTAGGTCCTCTCTGGTTTCCCAGAAAGGTTAGGCTCTCTTTCCACTTTTCCCTGTCCCTTCCTGGGTCTCCCAAGAGAAAAGACCTGCGGCCCACTGCTGAAGCATGGTCAAACATAGAAGATAAACAGTATGATGGGGCTGGTGGGATGGACAGTAAGAGGACAGCAGGAACTCTGGCAGAGAGGACATCTGTCTTGGCCCTGGCACACTGATATGTCAAAACAGAAAGTTCCTTGGGCGAGGGGCCGTCCACATTGCCAAGGCTGTCACAGTCAGCTAGAGTTTTGTAAATCCTGGGCAGAAGGTTAATGAGGGAGACAGGAAGAGCAGCAAGTGGGGTGGGGGTCATGGAGAGGTCAAGATCTGTGCAATGTCCAAAATGACAGGAATCTCCGGGCCCCAGTCTGACTTGAGAAGTGTGGGTCACAGGTGAAGTAAATTGTCACCAGCCAAAAGAACAAATGTCGAAGCCACAGAGACTCTGTCACAAACTTCTTGGGGAGTCTACAGGTGGTGTCCCTGCTTGCTGCTGGTGTAAGTGGCCCTGGGCCCTGTGGAGGAACTGGTTGATCTCCCTAAGTGCGGAGGAAGAACCTTCTGTCTGTGCTTAGTCCGAAGCCTGGTGGGCAGCAGGATGAGACAGTGGGTTCCGGGGTCCCCTCTCCCCTGCCACTTACCCCAGCCCACGACACTCAGCTTGAGCAGATAGCCAGGGACGTAGGTTCCGAAGACCTCAACCACCAGCCGGTAGAGGTTGTAGCCCTCGAGGCCCATCCAGGAGAGGCACGCAAGCAGGGAGAAGTGCAGGAAAACGGCACTGGTGCGACAGGCTGCTTCGGAGCCCGCCAGTGCCACGGGCTCACTGAGCAGGAAGCTCACGTCCAGCAGGAAGACTGCCAGCAGCAGGTTCATGTGCACTTTGATGGTATAGTCACGTGACTTCCTCCTACAGGGAGCACGCTGCCGGTGGGCCAGTGCAGGGACAGGGGCATGGCCCTGTTCTGTTCTCCCTCCTCATCCTCCTTTTGCTTTCTTCCCGAGCCCCCTCCTCCAGGAGGCCTTCCAGGTCGGCCCCATGGCTGCCTGCCCATGTGGCTATGAGTAGATCTGGACATCTTCCCAGCAGCACAGTGTGGACCTGCGTGCCAGGATTCTAAGGAGTTCCAGAGTTGAAGCAGAAGTTGCTGGCCCCACTATAACCATCCTCAGCTCACTCTTCCAGCTGGCACTGCCCTGGGCTAATCCAGTCCACCTCACACCGCTTTCTCCTCTACGAGGTGTAAGGATGGCTCTGGCGGAGGGTCTGGTGCAGGAAGCACGCATTTCCTACAAGTCCCCTGCCCCTGTCCCTGCACCTATTGCTCAGCGCTCTGCCCACCTCAGCCTCCACAAAGGTAATCACTGTCCATCCTCGGAAGCACCTGTACAGCCTTGGTTACACCTGCAGATGCACCTGGCCATGATTCTCCTGCTTATGACACAGACATACCCAGCTCGACCCTTCCTCCCCCACCTCAGGACAACTGAGGACCTGTAGGGTGTCTCCTAGAGCTAAGGCTGTCTCTGCTCCACTCAGGAAGGCCCAGGGCCTAACTGACCTCAATGCAGGCTTACATCAAATTGGACAACCTCTACCACTCCCTCCCTGTGAGCCTTCAAAGTTGAGGACCCTCTTTGGACAGTGGGAGGCATGTGGGCATTCCACGTGAAGTCGCCTACTTCCATTTCCATCACTGTTGTGCCATCGCTACCCTGTGTGCGCTCAAGCTTGGGTTTGATTGTGCAGATCCTTGGTGCTAACACTGGATTAACTCATGTCTACCGCTGCTGTCCAACAGCCGGAGTGAGGTTGTCGGCAAAGAGTCCACCAACAACTTCCCAATGACGCACATGTTTGGGTGAAGCAAGCCTGCAGGGGAGGAGTCCTAGCCTACAAGGATAACACGAGTCCACCTTTCTTCTCCTGGCCTACCTGGAACAGAGGTAGGCAGCAATGGTGAAGACACACGCCAGAGCAGAGATGACACAGCCCACGTAGGTCAGGAGTGTAAGGTAGTGTTTGTGAATGGCTTCTACCTCCGTGGATGACACCTGAGTGGGGACAGAGTGGTGGTCTCAGCATACTCCCATCCCCAGTGGCCAGTGTGTATTCCTAGCCACATGGGAGCTGGCAAGCCCCTCGCACCCGAGTGCTCTTCTGGGGGCCTCTGTGACTTCCTCCCATCCCTGAGGCAGTCTCTGACTCACAAAGAGCAGGCACCCTCACCCAAGAAGTATGCTCTGGCCTGTCCCAAGCCACACAAAGCCCTAGCTGATGCAGCTTTAGCTGGGTATTGTCCACTGGACAATGGCACTCAGGCGCCAATTGGCAGCAGAAGCTGTGCTCAGAATTTAAAATGTCTTGGGACCACTGAAGCTGCATCAGCTCCGGAGCCCAGGACATGCTCGCCCTATGTGCTCCCGAGAGCTGGTGTTGGGCAGTCTATGTACTTTTTACTTAGTCCATTTTCTCCTCAAAGTGGGTTTATCAGGATAGAACCATATTGTAAGCCAAGAAGAATCCTAGTTTTACGATATTCGACACAAAGATAAACTGTCCGGCTTTACACACCAAGGGATTCTGGGAGCGTGAGATCATGTCACTATAAGACACAGTTTCCTGGCCCGGGCCTGCAGGTTGGGAGCAGGAATCCGCATGTTCATCACACACTAGCACTTGAGAACAAAGAATGAACACAGGCTTCCCAGGCCGGCGGTTAGTGACCTGCGCAGCCTCAGCAACATCCTTTGAAGTAGGATGACGACAGGAGCTACCTTGGCAGGTTATTTGAGATTAAGTGAGTCAACAGGTTCTGAGTACGTAACATAGGACATGAGCTGTGGCCTGTGGCTGGACAGCAAGGGAGTTATGGGAGGAGGCACCTACCATCAGCACTGCAAAGTAGGTCAGATGGTTGCACAGGCAGGATGTCTGTGTGTCCCTGCTGACGGTCTCACAGCCCTCACTGCTCCAGCTCCCAGGGCTGCTTGCTGTGGGCAAGCACAGGACTCCGGTCAACCCCAGCCCTCAAGACCCTGCCACGCCCTCAATACAGGTCTGGGCCATTCCTGCAAATGTTTGCATCACACCAGCAGATCCCTGGCCTCCATCACTCCCTTCCTCTAAGGCCATCTCCAGAAACCCATCCCCGGGGATCCTCATCCCTCCCGCCCCGACAGAACTCCACGTCTCCTCCATACACATGTTCCCCCACTGTACTCACATGTCGGGTCTTCAACCCAGAACACGCACTGCAGAGTCACATTCTTCTGTGGAAACAAGAAGCACGGGCCCGCCGTAACTCACCCTCCACAGCCAACTCCCATGCTTTCTCTACAACCCACCCTGTGTGTTCTCTCTGCTCACCGTCCCTGTTCCCGCTACAGCCTTCCCTCGGTAGACCCCTCCCCCCCAGTCTACCTTTCATTCCTTCTAACGCCCACCCCTCATATTCTCATCACTACCCACCCTGCAGTCCCCACCCCTGTCCCAATCTGGGACCTGGCTGGTGGGTGCTCTCCATCGGGCAATCTTTTCATTAAAGACAAGTTGACAAGAACTGGGAGAGATGGGAAGCAGACGCATGACCCGGCGGGAAAGGATGCTGGCCCCATGGTTAGCTTGCTCACACTTACCGGCTGTGGCTGGTGCCGGAAGGTGAGTACCACAGGATCCGAGAGGTTGGTAACTTTGGTGTTCTGGACAACGATTCCCAAGACCTTCTCGCCCAAGACCTGGCTAGAATTCCTGTCCTAGATGTGAGATTGGGGTGGGGAGATTGGAGGTTTACGGCTGAGAAGAAAGGCTAAGAAGGCCTCTGCCTCTCTAGCTACTGTGACTCCCAGACACTTTGCTCTGAGACCCTCGTGGGTCATTCACGCTGTGGTGAGAACAACACTGCTTACACCTCTCCCAGGAGAATTGTGTGCTGCAGTGCCTTTTCTGCCTTTAGAAGAGAGGCTTTGGCTCCTGGGGGAGGGAGGTTAGTAGCTGTCTTCCCATCTCTCTGTCAGACATTTAAAAAAAAAAATCAGTTCCCCAAGGAACAGATGAGGGAGACTCCATACCTGGAACAAGGCTTGGCTGCTGAAGTCCACTACCAGGAGCCTCTTGGCAGTATCCCCGCGACGGCCTCTGGTCTGCTGGAATACCGCCCGGGGCAACAGCACGGAGTATGCCTGGACCTCACTCTGCTCCTCCTACACATCAAGAACCGTCAGTACCTCAGTACCGGGCCCAGCCTATGCCCCAGGTCCCCCTTGCACCGAACACCCCCCTCCTAAACACTGTGTTCTGGGCCACCCCACAAGATGCCAGGGAATCAGGTGGCAGGCGCTAAGGCTGAGAGGCCCTCCGTGGAGTCTTACAATCTAGGACTTCAGACAGTAGCTCTCCCGTGGGCTGTGGACTATCCCTGGACCCAAGGAAAGCAGAGGGTGCCACCATGCTGCATGGAATGGTCCCACCTGCCCTTCTAGCCTACCCCCGACCCCAGGTCACCGGACCTCCTGCTGGGAATGAATCTGCAGATCCTCTAGCCTGGCTGTGGGTGGCAGCTTCCACACTGTGGCATTGACCCGGTCCTCCTCGAAGGACACTGTGTCTCCCAGGAAGTTCACAGAGGTCAGCTTTGACTCCAGGCTCTGCAACTGCCTGGTGTGAGGGAGAACATGGTAGGTGACTGAGGGAAGAAAGGAGGGATGGTCTAGGTACATGGGATAGGCAGGTACAGAAAGGAGAGGAGGCCAAGGATGAAGGACACAGCAGCTGGGTATGAAGATGGAGGGGAGTGGCATCGAGGGACAATGTTCTGGAATTCGGCCCATGACTATGACTGACTTATGCCTGAGTTGCTCCCAGCCTCTCTCAAGAGATTCAATGCCCCAGACTTTTGTACGGAAGAGTCCAGCCGGGTACTGCCTGGGTGTGCGCGTTGGTATCAGTTTTTATTGACAACCCAGCAGGATCCACTGGAGGAGGTCCAGCCTCAGGGAAGGCTTCCCAGCTTCCCCCAGCCCAGGTTAACTCTCCCACCAGTTCCCTAGGACGGTAACCCACACTCACTGGCTGACGAGAGCTGCTGAGGGCCGCCGGGAGGCCTTGTGAGGATGCTGCAGGAACCTGCTGAGCAGCTGCAGTTCCTTCTTCAGATCACACATGTCCACAGATGCATTGTGGGAGACCTTGTGTGGGGCATCTGGGAGGGCAACAGACTGCCTGAGCTTGCCACCTAGAGCAATGGGCAGCACACAGCGCATGCAACCCTCCTGTGGTACTCCATGCTTTTATTTGCTTTGCAGTAGAGAGAACGGAGAGCCCCAGAGGCAGAGGAGAGCCCAGGTCACTGGAACATGAAGGCAGCTAAGCAGGAGCGTTCTCCTAGGGCCTAATGCATATGAACACAGAAGATTCCAAGGTCCCAGGCCCAGCAGATCTCCTTGGGAATTATGTGGGTTCTGTGTGGCAGTCCAGGGGACCTCTCTGTCTCCAAAACCCTCTGCCCGAGCGCCTGGGAACCTGGGTGTCTCTAAGGACTTGAAGAGACCCAGGTGAGAAAAGCAACCATTTCCTGACCCACAAGGACATGGTCCTCAGGCCTCCCTGCTTTCCTGACCTTTGACCCTCTTAATTCTTCCTGCCCCTACCAATCAGCTGCTAAGATTCGTACCCTAAGCACCCACTCTATTAGTTGTGTAGCTCTCTGTAGCTCAGTTTCCTCTTTGTTGACATTGGGGTATATGGAGTGCCCACAGTTTATGTTGCTTCTACCCACTCTTCGTTTTTAATTAATCTATCCATGTGTCCATCCATCCGTGTGAGTGTGTGTGTGTATGTGCATGTGTGCATACACTGAGTTCCTGCAGAGACCAGAGGACGGTGTGGGGGCCCCTGGAATTGGAGTTATAGTTGTTTGGGGGCTACCCAGTGCAGGTGTGCGGGGAACTAAACTTGGGTCTTTGGCAAGAACAGCAAATGCTCTTAACCACTGAGCCACCTCTCCAGCCCCTGCACTTTAAATAGAAGCTGGGATTTATGGCTGCAGTGTAGCTCTGCCAGTGCTGATATTTTTTAGTGTTACATTTCCAGGTCAAGTTGCACTCCCCCTACCGTCTATCCCCCGTATCCTGACCTTAGTGTATGTACATAAGTATGACCCACTGAACCCCAGGACCTGTCAGCAATAACTTCTTTTTCACCATCCCCTTACTATCTGTGATAATTAATATTATCTAGAATCACCTACGCCACAAGCCCTGAGGCATGTCTGTGAGGGATTAGATTACATTAACTGAGGTGGGGAAATCTACCCTAAATGCAGACAGCACCCTAGACTTGGATCCTGGGCTACGTAAACAGGAGGGAAGCTGGCTGAGCAGACCTATTCATCACAGTCTCCTTTCTGACTGCAGATGCAAATGACCAGTTGCCTCAAGCAACTGCTGCCAGGACTTTTCCACCATCAGCCTAGGGTATAATAAACTATACCCTAGAACTGAGATACCCTAGAACTGTGAGCCAAAAGAAACCTTTTCTCCCTTAAGCTGCTTTTGTCAGAGTATTTTATCGTAGAGAGAAAAAGCAACTAAGGCAACTCTCCTAATGGCTGAAGAGATGCTATGGCCATCACAAACAGGAACAGACAAATGGTCCAGAGCACGGAGAGCAGGGCCGACACAGAAGTTCTCCAGGGTCAGCTGCCGCCCACCTCCACCATCCTACCCTCACCTCTGCCTTTTCACAGAGCTTCCACAAGCTCTCCTTGGATCCCACTCCCCCACTCCTCAGACACCTTTCCTGACTTCCTACTGCTGGAGGATGACCAAGTCCGGTGACCACAGCAGCCATCCGAACCCAGGTCCTCCTCGAGGGGCTTTCCACTCTCTTCCGTGCCTTCCACCCCACACCCATCCGTTCCTCCAGCCTTACTGTGGAAGGAGAAGACGAAGCTGGCTGCCCCAGGCAAGCTGGTGTTCTGGGGGCTTCGCCAGGAGCTGACGGAGGTGGCGACCAGTGGGGGGCCCTGCTCCAGGCTCTGCTCCTGTCTCTGGAAGCAAAGGAGGCTGGAGGCTCTGTTACTCAGCAAGTAGTCATTCTTGCCATAGCGCAGGTGGAGTCTCCCGCTGTGACGGCTCCAGTAGAGGCAGAAGTGGTAGAGCCCCCTAGGCTCTGGGAACGGCACCAAGAGGGGGGCCTCTGGGGCTGCAGGGAAGGGGGCCTTGATCCTGAGGGCCTTCTCCGTGTTCGACACGGAGATGTGCAGCTCCGAAGACTGGTCATAATGCAGGGTGCTTCCTTGCGTCTGGTTCCGCTGGCCGCAGAAGCGGAAGTCTTCTCGGGGACTGCCACCTCGGACACCTGAGGAGGCAGAGGTTATAGGCGGGACCAGACATGGGCAAGGACCTGGGACACACACATCCCAGAGCGCTATACCTCAAGGGTCTACAATAATGTATCTATCCTGCTCAAAAACTACTGTTTCCTTTTTCAAAACATGAAAAAAAAAATAAAAAAAACAACTGAAAATAAAGAATGGTTTCAAAATGGTAAAACAAAACAAAACAAAACCAAAGTTTAAATAGAGATTGTTTAATGAGACCATAATTGCCATAGACTGCTGCACAGGTGTGCACTGTCCAAGAATTCGCCCTTCAAAGTAGATGGGGGAGGTCACCCAGCCCATGACCCCCATTCCAAGGCACGCTCTGTGGGGCTGCATCTCAGAAGGAAGAGGTACCTTTTCGCTTCCCCCACGGTGTCCTCAACCAGCTATGCCATGCTTTGCAGACCCATCCCTTCCCCAGGGAGTCACAGACAGACATGGATGCATTAAAGTCACAACGAGAGCCTACCTGGAGCCAGGAAGAACAGGCTCAGTAGGAAATATACCATCTGCCGCAGCACCTGGACAGCCATTATCCTCCGCAGAAGTCACCACCTGGAAAAGAATGTGAGTATTATGACGTAAGGGGTGTGGCTGGGCCAGCCCCACAGTGGGAGGCCTGTGAGTGGGTGGGGAACGAGCTGGAGGCCATGCAGAGATGGTCAGGCCTCGCCAGAGCAGCAAGAGGCTATCGCTCTGCTTTTTGTTGTTCTGCCACATGGTGTAAGTGGCTCACAACGGGGCCCAGAGGCCACAGAGTCTAGACTGCACCTGTAGCCACCATTTTGCCGCAGAGGAGATTCAGGACAATGGGCTGTCTGCGTTTTCCCTACAGTCCCTGAGGTCTGGCTAGTTGCAGAAAGCCTGCCTTAGGGCCCAGTCTTAACAACATTTGATACCCCCACCTTTACCCACTGTCTGAATCCTCTATCCCCACACCACGAGCTGGCGCAGTCCCTCCTCATTCAGTGTGGTTACTTAACTCCTGGCTACCTTCAGAAACAGCCTAGTGTAGAGCCTGAAGCAGGAAAATAGCAGGGTGAACTGCTTTTTAAGTGCTGGAAGGAAGGTTGCTTTCTGTCATGACCACCAGGGGGAGCCAGCCACCAGGGCCTGGGAAGCTAGGGCAGGGAGGTGCGGGGTGGGGGCGGTTTGTCTGTGTTCCCTCCCCGATGAGGGTCAGTTCCATGGGTTCCACACTGACTCTGTGGGCCACTATTAGCTGAGTGCCAGCTGGCTACTAGCCTGGGTTCTTCTTGACCTTACACCTATGTGAACTCACACCAACCCTGGAGCTGTCCTCCATTGTGGACCCTCCCAGCTGGCCAGTGACCAAGCTGGGGGCCGACGTACACAGACTGCCATCCCTCAGCCTGTAGGGAACTATGTCAGACCACAGCGACAGACACTCCTCTGCCACAAGCTAGGCAAAGGAAAGTCTGAAAACATGGGGCACCAAAGGAGTCTGAATTTGGGGGGGGGGGATGCTAGGAGGGCCTCCTAGAAGAGGCAGATGTTAAACTCAGCATCCAGGTGGCTCAACCCGGATCTCTCATTGGGAGAGATGTCTCATTCTGTCACGCTGGTCCCCTTCAAGTGAGAGCCAGTCCCTCACACCCAAACATGAGGAACAGAACTTCAGTTTCTGAGACTGTGATCCTCATCTGGTGCAGGAGCATTACACAGAGAACAGGAAAGTTGTAGGGAGGGCAAGGGCTTCCTCCACTGGGGCACAGAGTTTCCCTGACATTCTCAAACTGCCACTGGCCACCTTTAACCAGCATAAGAAAGGCCAGCGTCTGGAAACAGGCCAGAGCCCCTCTTCCCTTTTCCTCTCTGCAGCCCCTGTCACTGTCCACTCAACCTTCAGTCCAAATGCCTCTTCTTCAGACAGACCCCCTCACTTCAACTTGAAGCCCACAAATCACCATCCATTTTATGACGTTTAGATCTGAAACCCAGAGAGAGCCAACGGCTTCATGAGGTCACACAGCTGGCTAGGATGCCTGTCCCTCTCAACGTGGGCCATTACTGTTAGTACAGGGCTGGGGACAAGACAGAGCCCATTTGTCTTACACTGATCCTCTGCAATTGGCCCTTGATAACAAAAGAGTGAGCTCCCCCTCAAGGGAGGGACACGGTGAGGCGGGGTCACCCTGGCAACCCATGGAAGTAATCAAACACAAACAAGGGGCCCCACTGCCCCTCCACTTCTGTGCTCCACCCCATCTGTGTGGAGCCATTCTAAGGAAGACACACACCCCACCCCACCCCCCGGCAGTCAGCATTCTTGGGGGTTTTGAGGAGCAGGTGATTGTGGCCTGGATCTCTTAGTGGACTGGACTCCAGAACCTGACCACCTGGATTCAAATCCCTGCTCCTGTACTTTACTAGTGATGCGCCCCGAATTTAGTTACCATATTTGGGCTTCATTTCCCTCTTGTAAAGGAGACTGCAAATCAAACCTACCTCAGATGTCATTGTGAGAATTAAGTCTACCAGTCTCCATAAAGGACTTGGAAGTGGGGTGCACACAGGGTACCACTGAAGTCAGATTGCCTCTGCATACCTTCTGTCCAGTGCATGCCTGTCCCTGACTCAGAACCCTTCCCCCCAATCCACATTCTATGTTCCCTCCCCAGTCCTCTGTCCTCTGCAGGTGGCCAGCCTGGCCTTCAGAGCACTTGAGGGGAAATTCCTCAACATGATCCTCCCTTCCGGACACAGTATCGGGAAGGCTATGACCCCACCCAGAGAACTTCCCTCCTCCTAGCTGGCCCTGAGTATCACAGGCTCCCAGGAGCAGGAGAGGGAGGCGATGGGGGTGGGGGCTCCTCTTCAGACAGCTAAGGGATGTCCACACAGGTCAGGGGGAGGACTGTCCTATCTGGCCACTTAGCATATTCCTGCCCGAGCCCCTCCCAGGGCTGTCCCAGCCTCACACCCCAAAGGGCATGGCCAAAGCCTATGAAGTGGCCCTAGGGCCTCCTGTAGGCATCCTAAGGTCTGGTCACTCTCTTCCCCGCAGCCTGCCTCCTGGCCAGAAAGAGGGAACTCCGCATTCTAGAAACCAAATCTCAGGAGCAGGGGCCCACCTCCTGGGGCCCACCTCTGACCTGTGCTGATGAAAAATGGCAAAGCAGACCAGTGTTGGTCACCAAATGCCAGGCCACAGCAAAGCTGTGCCATGTGCCACAGTACTGCCAGAACCAACAGTTACTGAAAAGGTGGATCAGCGGCCCCACCCAACAGTAGTACCAGCAAAGTCTGGAGAGTAACAGGGTCCCGGGTTTACCATTTCACAGATGAGAAAACCAAGGCCAGAAAAAGCCATCTCTCCCAAGAGCACACAGGGCTGCTGCTGAGCCCTCTCAAGAATCCTGGAAGTACACACCCCCTGGCTTGGGAGTCCCTTGAAGACAGAAAAACAGGAGCTGTAGAGAGGTCAGGGGCACACAGTAGGCAAGTCCAGCCTAGAGAGAAGTTGCTGGGCTGAGGCACCAGCTCCTCTTTCAGAGCAGCTGCCTTGACCTCAACTTCCTGTAAACAGGCAGTGAACAGAACAAGCTGAGCCAATCTGACACAATGGACGCCATCATGGGGTCCCCAGGGTTCACCGGGACAGAGGGGGGCTAGGGTTGTATGAGTCCAGATACCCCCCAAACCATTCCTAGCATGACTGGCTGCTGGGGAGGGGACTCCGAATGGTGGGCAGCGGTCCCAGAACTCACTTTCTCTCCCGAGGCCTGAGTCACTTCCCCTGCCATCCTGTGTGGACCTGCGTCACCTAGACACCACCAGTTCCTGGAAAACCCATTTCCTCCTAGGATGGAGGTGGAAGTTGAATGGGGACTAGAAGGGCTCTGGATTAACCCTTCCCAGGCAGGTACCTCATGTGTAAGTGGGACCCTTCATACCCACTAGGGTTACAGGTTAGCCTCAGGGTGATGGGTTCTGAATGACAGATTTCCACTGTGTCCTTCTGCTCAAAGCCCGAGTCTCCAGGAGTACCTGCCTTCTTCCCAGCCACATACAGCCCTGTGTGCCTCCTTGATAAAGTCTGGCCCCATCAGAGGTGCCCCAAACTGTCAGTGCACTGGGACCCACCCCAGGAAGATGCTTTGAAGGACATGGCCTGGGTCCTGTGCACCACAATTCAGGTGGGGCTTGGAGCCTGGCTTTGGCAGTATTCAGTAACTGAAAGGTCATACGTGGGAACCAGGGGTACCCAGCAGCTGGGCTCAGGCAGCATCAGAGCAAAGCAAAGGCCTGCTGCATTTACTCAGCTGAGAAAGAGCAAAACCTGGACAGGGACAAGAGGCAGGCAGGCGGCCTTTCCTAATTCACGACACAACACATAGTCCCCCAGTATTTAGCAAGGGGCTGGTCATCTGATAGGCCTACCACAAAACAGCCAGAAATGGAGATAAAGCTCATAGGAGGAAGAAAGGAGTCAACTAGTCTCCAGGTCTGAGTCTGCAGGGCCTTTCTGGGGACATTGAGGAGAGGCCCCAGCTTATCATCAGCTACTTCCTAACACGGGGCTTAGAATGTGTTCCTTGAGAGCTACGGAGGCTCAGGGGGAAATTAAGCACCTTCAGAGCATAAGCATGTAGAGCTTCGAGTGCGTGTGTCCACGAGCCCCTGAGCGTGCACTTGCAGTGTGCACTGGGTGAGGAAGGCTGGTGTAGACTACCTTATCTCTGCAGAGGCGGCGGCAAAGACACACAGCCAAGGCCGGAGTGGGAGTGGGGCCTGAGAGGTGGCACAGGCTTGAATGCACTGCCTCACAGAGCACAGGGATGAGAGGGTCCCCTTCCAACACCTTCCAGGCTTGGCTCACCAGCACAAGTCCCTCCTTACAAGCATCGCATACCCGGATGCTCTAAGGAGATGTTTACCAGACCCAGGGGACCAGCGCTCCCCTCCCCACTCAGCCAGACCTCACTTGGCTAGGTCCCCGGCTTCTGAGCACAATGCCTGTAAACGCTGGACTCTGCCTTCCGCATCTGCCCCCGCTTCACAGTTGGGTGACTGATGCCCAAGGAAGCGGACCCCTCCAGAGCCTACCCCTCACTGAGAAGGAGCACTGGGGTCACAGGGCAGCACAGTGACTTCAGGCTTCAGGAATCTGTCTAGACTGCATGATAATAAAAATCAAGTTGGCACCTGCCCTGGAGGCTGGCAGTTTCCCAGGCCTTACCTACTTGGGCAAGGCTCACTTTTGTTTGTTTTTGTTTGTCTCTATCTTAGCCCAGGCTGGCCTTGAGCTACAGCAATCCCCCTGCCTCAGCCTCTCCAGTGCCAGGATTACAAGCCTGAGCTACTGTTGTACATGGCTGCCATTCTAGACCTGGCCTTGCTATATAGGGCTGCACAGCGAGCACAGGCTTCACACCTCCCTGTGATTTCCTGCTCATGTCCATGAGCTGCATGTCTGCCAGCCCTGCCCCATGGAGAAACTGAGGGAGGGGAGCTGTGGGCATTGAGTGCCAGCCCAGCAGAGGGCCTGTGGACAACAAAGAACTCTAAGGCCTCAGCAGCTGACCATTTTG